GAGTTCTTGAAGGAGCTCGTTGCGCTCTTTGTTGGTCATCTCGAGCGCGGTCGCGGATGCCGCGAGAAGGGCCGTGGTCAAAAAGATCGACTTCATGGTAGGGGACGGTAGGTGAGCACCGAGCAAATTGGAAAATGAGCTTTCGGACCAACGCTGGCAGCACCGACAGCCATGTACAAGCCGGACGATACGGCAAAGAGCCGCTTCCGAGAGGTGTAGCACGAAGAACTCTCCGAGTGGAACTGGAACGGTCGCTGCGATACCACATGTTTTGGACTTGGCGTTTCAAGACGAGCAAACGAGCGGCGGCGAGGCACCGCATGGAAGTTCGTGCTGAGCGAGGGACGCTGCATGGCATGAGATGCATGAGACGACGATCTGAGTCGCGCTGAAGTCAGATGCGTGGTTAGTCGAGTTTTGCCGAACAGAGTCATCCGAATGTGGGCGCGGACGGCAAATCCCACCTTTAGAGCTTCTTTGGACTGGATTCTACCCTACCCCGGGTCGACTCTGTGACTATCGATAACAACCTGAATCTAGCTTGTACAATATGGAGCGCCAACGAATTCTTCTTGGGCGTGTGCCTTCGTGGTGGACTTCCATCGACTGGCGCGTGATGGGTTGCACGAGTGAGTGTCGCACGCGCTTCGTGTACGGTAATCAGAAGAGTTGAGGTTTCATCTTTTTCGTTGACGCCGTGCGGTCTCCAAGTGGTCAGCGAGTTTGAACACCGCGTCTAGAGCATCCAAAGTGGCGAAACACTGCTATTTTATTTTCACGTCTCGTCCGTCCCGCTGCTTCATATAAATACGCGGTAACACTCAGGGGAACACGAAGTGTCGTCAAATCTAGGTGGGTAAGCTAGTTGGGTGGTAGAACGCATCACGAAAATCTATGGCTCTGGCACGTGATCGCGTTGGCCGTCCGCGCCCACATTCTGATGACTCTGTTCGGCAAGACTCGACTGGCCACGCATCTGACTTGAGCGCGACTCAGATCGTCGTCTCATGCATCTCATGCCATGCAGCGTCCCTCGCTCAGCACGAACTTCCATGCGGTGCCTCGCCGCCGCTCGTTTGCTCGTCTTGAAACGCCAAGTCCAAAACATGTGGTATCGCAGCGACCGTTCCAGTTCCACTCGGAGAGTTCTTCGTGCTACACCTCTCGGAAGCGGCTCTTTGCCGTATCGTCCGGCTTGTACATGGCTGTCGGTGCTGCCAGCGTTGGTCCGAAAGCTCATTTTCCAATTTGCTCGGTGCTCACCTACCGTCCCCTACCATGAAGTCGATCTTTTTGACCACGGCCCTTCTCGCGGCGTCCGCGACCGCGCTCGAGATGACCAACAAAGAGCGCAACGAGCTCCTTCAAGAACTCGACGCGTGGAAGAAGAGCCAGGCCGGCAAGGCCGCTGTCGTCCAGGGTCTCCTTCCGCCCAAGCCGCGCACCGAAAGCTTCAACGCGCACGAACAGCTCGAGACGGAGCTCACGCGCTTTGCCCACACCAAGAAGGTCGTCGCGGACCTCAACAAAGAGCACAACGGGTCGGCGACCTTCTCGACCGACAACCAGTTTGCGCTCATGACGGACGCCGAGTTTGAAAAATTTGTCAAGGGCGCGTTCGGCAAGCCGGAAAAGAAGCGCCAGCTCCGTGCCGAGAACATCCAGCTCGAGCTCACGCCGGCGCAGCGCGAGGCGAGCGGGAAGGACTGGACGACGAGCAAGTGCATGCCGGCCATCAAGAACCAGGGCAGCTGCGGCTCGTGCTGGTCGTTTGCGGCCGTCGGTGCGGCCGAGATGGGCCACTGCATCGTGTCCGGCAAGCTCCTCAGCCTCTCGGAGCAGCAGCTCGTGAGCTGCGCGTCGAGCGCGGGTCAGGGTTGCCAGGGCGGCTGGCCCAACAAGGCCCTCGAGTACATTGCGCAGACCGGTGTGTGCTCGGCGTCCGAGTACCCGTACACGCAGAGCGACAGCCAGTGCAAGCAGAGCTGCAAGAAGAACAAGCTCAGCGTTGGTGCGCCCGTCGACATTCGTGGCGAGAGCGCGCTGCAGTCGGCGCTTGACAAGCAACCGGTGACCGTCGTCGTCGAGGCCGGCAACGACGTGTGGCGCAACTACAAGAGCGGTATTGTGCAGAGCTGCCCGGGCGGCCAGTCGGACCACGCGGTCATTGCGGTCGGGTACGGCGGCGACTTTTTCAAGATCCGCAACTCGTGGGGCACCAGCTGGGGCGAGCAAGGCTACATGCGCCTCAAGAAGGGCGGTGGCAGCAAGGGCATGTGCAACTTGGCCGAATCGCCGTCGTACCCGTCGTTGAGCGGCAAGC